GAACGGGGTGGGGGGCGGGGGCGCGGTGCGACGCGGAATAACATGGTCGGAGCGGAAGGGGCATTGGGCGGAGGGGGCACTGGGCCGCTGGGGAACGCTGGGGAGGGGTAGGACGGGGGCGGAGAGGGGGGAGGGCGGTGCGACGCGGAAAAACATGGTCGGAGCGGAGGGAGCACTGGGCGGAAGTTTCACTGCGCCGCTGGAGATAGCTGGGGAGGGGCAGGAGGGGCGCGGGGAGGGGGTGGGGTCGCGGTGCGACGCTGAATAAAATGGTCGGGGCGGAGGGGGCACTTGGCGGAAGTTCCACTGGGCCGCCGGGGAACGCTGGGGAGGGGTAGGAGGGGGGCGGGGAGTGGAGAGGGGGGCGCCGTGCCACGCGGAATAACATGGTCGGGGCGGAAGGGGCATTGGGCGGAGCGGGCACTGGGCCTCAGAGGAGGGGCACGAGGGGGGCGGGGAGGGGGGGCGCGGTGCGACGCGGAATAAAATAGTCGGGGCGGAGGGGGCACTGGGCGGAGGTTCCACTGGGCCGCTGGGGAAGTAGGAGGGGGGGGCGGGGAGGAGGGGGCGCGGTGCGACGCGGAATAAAGTGGTCGGAGCTTTTAGACACCCTGTGCAAGAGAATAAAATGGAATACGTCGACCCCGATCCCCGACTTCATGGAGTTTTAGACTGGACAGAACCTGTCGGGCCCAACTCGGGAATATACGATTGGGGGCGTCTATCCTCGCCAGGGTTGCGTCCGAATAGCCTCCTGCGGGTGTATCCCCGAGCTTTCCCTCTTGTTTGAGCCGCTCGATCTTTCGTGGAAAAGCCAGAGTGGGGGGTGAGAAATCGTCTGCGACACCAGGGCCAACAAACATTGAGCCTAAAACGGCCCCAAACGAGGCCTCGAAGACTTTCACGAGCAACCCGAGAGAGTGAGGGGATGTTCCCGCCCTAAGAGGAGCAGCGCTGTCCACTACGATGGGCAGCAGATGGGTGACCGTCCAACCATCAAAAGGTTCAACGCGCGCTGGGCTCAGCTGCGCGCTGCTGGAGTGCATCTTCGAGGCATGGAAGCCCATCGTCTCCCAACGCCCACGCACAGGAGGTGGTGGTGGGAAACAAGGCCAGGATGCCCACCGAGCAGGCGCGCGGAAGGGCACGAATGAGGAGGAGGAGGAGGAGGAGGAGGAGGAGGAGGAGGCGGAGGAGGAGGAGGAGGAGGACGAAGCCTCCCCCAATGCCACGCCGCCCGACGGCCCGCTCCCCCCCTCCCCTCCCACGGGCGCCCCTCCCCCCTCCCCGCGCTCGTCAGGCACCTGCCCCGCGAGAGACGCCCTGGGCAGCAGGGACCCTGGACACGGAATGAGGACCCTCTCCGTGTCCCAGGGCGCTGGCCGCATGTCCTCCCGCTCTCCGGGAGGTGGGCCGCTCCTCCCCCCCGTGCCCAGGGCCGCTCGCTGCGACACCAAGGCCGAGCACCGGCAGCGAATCCGAGGCCGACCAGAAACGGATCGAGCGAGCGCGGCTGGGAACGCTCACGCAACCTCGCCTCTACCAAAGGGGTGTAGGCTCAGGTCGGGCATGCCCTCCCACAGGCGGATTTTGGAAGAACCATAATAAAAATAATCACATAACAACAGCAACAACAACAACAACAACAACAACAACAACAACAACAACAACAACAACAACAACAACAACAACAACAACAACAACAACAACAACAACAACAACAACAACAACAACAACAACAACAACAACAACAACAACAACAACAACAACAACAACAACAACAACAACAACAACAACAACAACAACAACAACAACAACAACAACAACAACAACAATAGCAGTAGCAATAGCAATAGCAACAACAACAACAAGAATAACAACATCAACAACAACAACCAAACAACAAAAACAACAACAACAACAACAACAACAACAACAACAATCATTTAAGACTGGGGACACTCCGTTCTCACCAGTGCCAGGGTTTTCATAGGAGGCGGGCAATACCCCCACTTTGTGGGGGGGCCGGTTCAAGCTCTACCAAATTTCCAAACGACTCTTCGCCACCACCCACACCCAGCTTCCCGCCCTATGACGTTCGGACACTTCACTTCGTGGCATGCGGACGACCGTGGCTACTATTCAGGGCCCCGCGGCCGACGACGACGGCGTGCGCGCGCGAAGAAAAAACGAATGTGTCCCGCATGGTATTATTTGACAGGGATGATGGCCCTGGCAGGTGCGCAACCGTTGTCGCAGAAGTTCGAAAAAGTTGCTCGCAAAAGCCCGTTTGACAGAAATGTTTAAAAAGTGTTGGGTTTCCTACGAATCCGCAAGAGCGCGCGGGATGAGATTTTGACATTTTTTTGTTGAAAAACCATTGGTTTTTTGATGTTTTTATGTTAAAATCTCCGAACACTAAGCTTTTGGAAGGATTTCGTCTTGCGCGCGCGAATGTCCACTTTACCTTATTTTTTGCAAGGGATTCTTGAAATTTGATTATATTAGAACAAGAAATGTCATTTTATAGTGTTTTTTGCAAGGGAAAACGGATTACAACAAAACAACCGGATCCTGATCACATCGTTTACCTGAGGCTTCCTCACGAAAATGATGAAAATGTAGCTGCGGCCTAGCGCGGCGCAGGGGGGGCGCGCACCAGGGGGCCCAACAATAATTATTCTTTAGAATAAATAATGTTCAACAACAACAACAACAACAACAACAACAACAGCAACAACAATCACAACCACAACCACAACCACAACAACAACAACAACAACAACAATAAGTTTAAGACTGTTCGCCTTTATATGCTCGAGTGTCCAATAACGCGTATTTCCCAAACCCTCGATACCCGCCCTCTTCGTCTTCGATCGAACCCCTTTAGGGGGGTATACCTTTCTTCCCTGCAGGCCAGGCCCCGGCAAGCGGCGGGGCGGCCGCGGACCGTCGGCCTGGCCAGCGGCAGCGCTGATCGGCGGGGCGGCCGCGGACAGTCGACCCGACCCCAAAAGGGACGGACAGGGGACCCACGACGACGACGACGACGATGACGACGACGACGTCGAAGACGACGGCGACGACGACGACGGCGACGACTAGCGAAGGCGAGAGCGAGAGAGAACGACAGCAGGGCCACGAAGGGCACGAAGTAGGCCACGAAGGGAGACAGCGGGGACACGGAGGGAATGCGCATGGGACCACGAAGAGCGCGAACGAGCGGGGGCCACGAAGTGCAGACAATGCGGGGCCACAGAAGGCAACTATGGGGCCACTGAGGGTAGCAACTGGGCCACGTAGGACAGTGAGGGGGATACACATGGCGACAGCGGGGCCACGAAGGGCATGCACATGGGGCCACAACGGGCGCGACTCCTGGGTGCCTGGGTGTCGGGAGCGCGGCGCTTCGGCAAATCGCAAGAAATCCCAACGCAAGGCCATTCTCCCGTAAGTTGCAAGCAAGTCCCTAGCGAGAGCGCCACTCCAGAGCGCCGGGAGAGCGATTCCTGAATAAATTGCAAGGAAGTACCAAACGAGAGCGCGATTCCGGAATAAAATGCGAGGAAATCTCGGGCGGGAGCGGGGGTCCTGGCTAAATTGCAAGGAAGTCTCAGGCGGGAGCCGTTGTTGTTCTTGTAATCCAGGAGCCCAGTTTGAAGAGGATGACTTTCCCTGCAAAAAACAAGGTGCGAGCGTCGAGGGGCACACTTCGATTAAGAAAAAACAGTATGCCCTGGTGGGGGGATCAACAGTAAATATTCTTCAGAAATGAGAACACAACAACAACAACAATAATAATAATAATAATAATAATAATAATAACAATAATAATAATAATACTAATCAAAATAATAATAACAACACTAATAAGAATAATAAGAAGAAGAAGAAGAAGAAGAAGAAGAAGAAGAAGAAGAATAAGAATAATAATAATAATAACAATAATAATAATCCGAATGGTAGTAATAGTAAGAATAAGAATAATAATAGTACTAATACTACTAATAATAATACTAATAATAATAATAGTTTGAAGACCGATCGCCCTTATATGCTCGAGAGTCCCATAACGCGTATTTCCCAAACCCTCGATACCCACCCTCTTCGTCTTCGATCGAGCCCTTTTTGGGGGGTATACTTCCCTGCAGGCCGGGCCCCGGCAAGCGGCGGGGCGGCCGCGGACCGTCGGCCTGGCCAGCGGCAGCGCTGATCGGCGGGGCGGCCGCGGACAGTCGACCCGACCCCAAGAGGGACGGACAGGGGACCGACCACGACGACGACGACGACGACGACGTCGAACACGACGGCGACGACGACGACGACGAAGACGACGAGCGAAAGCGAGAGCGAGAGAGAACGACAGCAGGGCCACGAAGGGCACGAAGTAGGCCACGAAGGGCGACAGCGGGGACACGGAGGGAATGCGTATGGGGCCACGAAGAGCGCGAACGAGCGGGGGCCACGAAGTGCAGATAATGCGGGGCCACAGAAGGCAACTATGGGGCCACTGAGGGTAGCAACTGGGCCACGTAGGACAGTGAGGGGGACACAAATGGCGACAGCGGGGCCACGAAGGGCATGCACATGGGGCCACAACGGGCGCGACTCCTGGGTGCCTGGGTGTCGGGAGCGCGGCGCTTCGGCAAATCGCAAGAAATCCCAACGCAAGGCCATTCTCCCGTAAGTTGCAAGCAAGTCTCTAGCGAGAGCGCGACTCCAGAGCGCCGGAAGAGCGATTTCTGAATATATTGTAAGGAAGTCCCAAGCGAGAGCGCGACTCCTGAATAAAATGCGAGGAAGTCTCGGGCGGGAGCGGGGGCCCTGGCTAAATTGTAAGGAAGTCTCAGGCGGGAGCCGTTGTTGTTGTAACCCGGGGGCCACGGGCCCAGTTTGAGCAGGAAGACTTCCCCTGTCACAAAACAGGGTGCGAGCGTCGAGGGGCACACTCAAATGGAGAAAAAACCGTATGCACCAGTGGGGGGACCAACAATAATTATTCTTCACAAGTGAGAATTCAACAACAACAACAACAACAACAACAACAACAACAACAACAACAACAACAACAACAACAACAACAACAACAACAACAACAACAACAACAACAACAACAACAACATCAACATCAACAACAACAACAACAACAACAACAACAACAACAACAACAACAACAACAACAACAACAACAACAATAGCAGCAGCAGCAACAACAACAAATGACAAAAATACGGATACCATCCACCGTGTATTTTTTGTTTGGCACGTTCCTATTGTAGGTGGACATGCCCTTTTTAAAAATGTAGGCCCGAATACCTTTCTGAATGCAACCAGAACGCGCGGACGAGTGTGACCGACGTGCTTGACTCAAAATCGACACGATTCCCAAGTTCGGTCACACTTAGGGTCACACCATAGCTTGGGTCACGATCTCGGGCAAGTTTTCGGTCACTGCTCTGCCTTTTCGGCTGATCGGGGCTGGGCGCCATGAAAAAACGGCGAGGCGGCGCAGTCGACCGAACCCGAACCCGCAACCGAACCAGAACACAGCTGGCCGCAGCGCAACTGGCCCGACAGCACCGAAGACACCCCTCTCGTGCCGTTGGAAGCCTCACAAACAGGATCCGAATACGGTCATCGCGCTACCGGAAGAAACGATACAGAAGGCACGGGAGTAACCAGCCTCGAGCTTATCTCTATCCCTAAGATCGGCAAGCCCAAGGCGCTGACAATTTCAGGGATGCGCTTTCAGAACCGGAGGGGACCTTAAGATCGGCACCGGGACACGGAAATGTCAAAGGGATAAGAGCAGATGCTTCAGGCTGGCAAGGAGGAGTTTCCTGGCCAAGGTGAGCCTCGGCCACGAAGAGGTTCGTTCCACGGCCAAGATCTGATGGGGAAACACGAAGGCCAAAGCCCCTCATGAGCCCACAGTGATCCTCACGTCCGCGTCTTGGCTGCAGACGGGGCCGGAAGATTGCACCGCATCGCCGATGCATCAGCGACGTCGGCGTGAAGAAGATCGGGCCCGCATCGAGCCGCATCGCCGATGCATCGGCGACGTCGGCGTGAAAAAGATCGGGCCCGCATCGAGCCGCATCGCCGAGCCGCATCGCCGATGCATCGGCGATGCGGCGCGATCCTCCGATCCCGTCAGCTCGGACCCCACCAGGGAGGCCCAGAGCGGCCGCCCCGACCGAGCCGCGGACGCCCTGGTGGCCCGTAAAACAAATTGCTGCCAGCCAAAAAACCTCCACGTAGCTGCGGGCGAAGTGCTCCTGACCCAGACAGCGGGAGGGACGCGCCGTGCAAATCTATTCGCGCCCCCAGGCGGGGAGGGAGAAGGGGGAAACAGGAGGGGAGGGGGGGGGGCCTCGGGTGCCACAGCCCTCGGTGGCAACTCATGGGAGCCTCTCATGCCGCTTTGCTGGCTCTTGCGAATCGACGCTGACCGACGCTAGTCGACGCTCGTCGATGCTGATCGACGCCGAGTCGACGCTCGATCGGCGCTGATCGACGCAAAAGCGGCGCCCCCATGGAATAGCAGACGCTAACGCACCCTACAGTCAACCCGTATAGTAAGGACGCACGATAGAGCAAGGGCCTTAGACCGTCATGTCGACACTTTGCGGGCGGGGCGCGGCCAGCGAAGGCGGCCAAGGATAGGCGGCAGGGGGAAGGGAAAAGATGCATCTCTAGCCCTGGAAGGCTGCTTATCTCCTTACTATGCGGGTTGACCGTTATGCACCCTGCAGACAAGGCTCCCACGATTTGCTGCCAAGGCACGTCGTCGTCGGCGTCGGCGTCGTCGTCGGCGGCGTCGTCGTCGTCGACGACGCCCCCCGGAGGCGCGGCGGCTCGGAGGCCCCAAGCGTCACCAGGGCGCCGAGGCGGCCGAGCACGAGGTACTGCGCCTCTCGGGCCCGCGGGGGGCGGGCGGGTGGGGCGTCGGGGGGGCCACGGGTGGCGCCGGCGATGCTGCTCGGGGGAGGCTCCCGCAGAGGAGGGGCAGCGGTGCCCGTCGGTCGGGAGAGGTGGGCAGAAGCATGAGGTTGGATCGGGGAGACGTAAAACTCAGGCTCGGGGGATTCGGGTTGGCCTGACGGGGCCATCCATGAAAATGACGAGACCCGATCTGAAGTCGGACGCGAGCTCCCGCTGCAGACATCCCACGAAAACCGGACGGTCAGAAGCCAGGACGCGCTCGTCCAAAAACGTCGGCAAACCCGATTTCCGGTTTACTCGAGTCTTAGGTTTCCCCGATAGGAAGGCGTTGAAGTAGATGGGGTTTCCGCCCGCCCCCTGACGAGAAAGCAAAAGGTGAAACCAGTCGATCATTGAGGCACGAAGGCGCCCAAAGCAGATTGGCTCCAAGGGGGAAACACCGACCCGGGCGGGGTTGGCTACCAGGCCCCTGTCGGCGATAAATGGACGGTTGGGGATTGATGCGTCCCCCCGAGCCGATCCCCTTTAAGGTTGCCCCCGATGCGCAGGGGAGGTCCCAAAAATCCGAGGCTCCGACAAAAATTAGAGCGCCCGGTTCTGGGCCGATTTCGGCCTCCAGGGGCCCTCGTGAGGCCTCGAGACCGTCAGAAAACTTGGACGCTGCTTCAATAGGGGTGCGATCAGTGGGAGAGGGGGGGGAGAAGTGTACACATGTCGTGCCCCTTTTTGAGCCCCCAGGAGGCCTCCTTTAGGGCCCCGCCCCTAAGGGCGGCACGAAAGGTGCACCGTTCGTCATCCCCGCCCCATTTGAGCGACGATCAGAAACGGGTTTTCCGCGAGACCACACAGTGACCTCACGCCGCGACTTACGCGGGCCGCCAGCGCGGAATGCCGCATTGGAGACGACGGCGCTTACGCGCGACCTTGCGCGGGAAGCTTACGCGCGAATGTCGGCGCAGTCGACCCCGTTCTTTTGCGTCGCCCACTTGTCACCCCCCATTACTCCAGATTTCGTAAGAGAGGGAGGGGGGTCTCATTTCGGGGGGGGTCTCTTCCAGGCTATCTTGGAGGGCCTGGGGGGTCTGGGGACGATGCTTTGGAGGGTTCTCCCACGGGGGAGGTCTGAAATGGCTTGTCTTGGAAGGTCCAGACCCCCCCCCCTTTTATTACGAGATCTGGAGTACCCACCACGCAACGACCGAGCGGAAGAGGGCCGGACCTCCCGAGGTGCACGCATCGAAAGAAAGCTGGAGCGCCAGATGTCTGGGGTGGGGGCCCTCCTCGCGGCGACGCGGGGAGGGCCGGGAGGGGGCCAGGGCGCGGACCTCGGGGGAGGGACGGCGAAGGGCCAGGAGACCGCAAGACGAAGCCAGGACGAGGACAAATTCTGCCGAAGGTAAGTCGAGAATCTCTAAGATCTGGCGGCTCTAGGGGATGCATCGGGCGCCTGGACTTCTCAGAGCTTTTCCGGAGCGCTCTGCAAGCGTTCTGGAACGCTCTGGAACGGATCTATCCTCATTCTAGCCCCCGCCCGAGAACAGGGGACTCCTCTCCCTCGTCCTCCTTTGTGAACACCCGGAATGGGCACTGAAAAAAATGGGCGCGATGCCCGACAACGGATGCTGCTCAAAACCGTAAGCGGCCGCTGTTGGGCAGATGACTTGTAAGTCCCAAGTGGACAACCCCGCTGGCGACCTCGACAGAGAGTCTTGTTCAAACTGAGCAGGGCTGCTGTCGGTCTTCGTCTCTTTTCTTGCCGTACCCATCTCGATCGTACCGATCCTTCTCCCTGCCCCGCTCCTCGTTTTAGGTCGGGCATGTCCCCCTACAGGCGGAGTTGGAGCAGAAAATTAAAGCACTCCAAAGAAAACACCCCCACATAGTCGAAAATGGTCCATAAATCGTCCCCGCACTACTTTATGACTACTTTTGAATCTTCCCTCTGTGGAGGGACAGGCCCGACTTCATCCTCGCTCTTCTCCTCGTCAGGGCAGGCAAGAGGCCAGGAGTGCCCAACCCCTCGTCCCTCCAGGCGCTCCCTGCGGGGCCAGGGGGGGAGCGGGCAGGGACGAGGGCAGCCCCTGCCCAGCGTCGAGCGGATCCCCATCCCCAAGGCAAGGTTGCTCAGGGCTGGCAAGCCCAAAGCGAGCGTTCGTCTATGTTCCGCGACAGCGGCAGTGATTCGCCCCGGCCGCCCCCCCACGCACGTCACGACCTCCGAGTCGTCTGCGGCGGCTGCTCCCAAAAACTCCCAGGCGGCGCCAGTGCGAAAACGTCACACTACTGGCCCCCTATGCCCCTCCCCTCCCCCCCCCCGTAACGCCCGTGATCACCCAAGAATCAAAAAACGCTCTCCAGGGGACCACCATCCTGGGGACCTGCCGTCGGAAACTGAAGGAACTCTTGAGATCGGCGCCGAGGGGAGGTGATGCCAATCACAGGGACGAGGGGTGCGTATGAGGCCCACAAAGGGCGCGTCGTGCTCAATTGCGCCATGGAGCCCGCCAGACGCCATTGCGACACAGAATCGCAATCTGAGCCCGCAGAGGGCGCACCGCGCTCAAATACGCAATTGGCGCCTGCAGGACGCCACTGCAACCCGAATCGCAATCTGAGCCCGCCGAGGGCGCGTCGCGCTCAAGTGCGCAATGTGCGCCCGCAGGACGCCGCCGCGGCTGGCAAGCACTCCTCGCCGGAGTTCCTGTGACAGCGGGCAAGAAAGGAGGGGCCAAGAGTCGGCCGGAGGGAAGCCAGGAGGGGCGAGGTAGGTCACGGTCACGGATACGACGGCGCAGAAGAGCTGGCATCAGGCCCGCGTCGCTTGGGACGCACTAAGACATGCTAGTACTATATGTCCTCCCCACAGGCGCGCGTCCGACCCGAACATATAGTATAACTATCTTGTAGTGGATCGTTTCCCGAGCGGTACGGCCAGAAAGCGCCCGTCACGGAGCATATACCGCACACACAGTATTAGTATGTTGGGGTGCCGCCGATCGTTCGCCGAACGGCGGAAGCGGAGTGGGCGCACCTGGCCTTCCCCACCGCCCGCCAG